TAAAATGAAAGTGACAAGCAGAATGCTGATACTGGTTTCTACCTTAAAAGCCATTACACATTCTAGTAAACTTGAGTTTTTGTTTTCATAGATTTTCAAAGCACAGGGAATAGGGAGAAAATATCCAATGGTTGCTGAAAATAGAAAATCTAAAAGAATATAATCCCAACATAAACCTGGGCCCAACAAATGGCCTATCCCCTCTACATAAGTGAAAAACAGAAATAAATGTCCACTCATTCACGGTTTTATAAGGAGCTATACCTATCTTGACTTCTAGTACTGAATGAAGGGGAAAAAGAATATTGCTTCTAGCTAAAAAACAGCCTTTGTGTTGGATTGCAGCCTGAATTTCTTCGACTGTGGGATGTGAAAACCTTAATGCAATACTACAGTTTAAAGTACACCTAGGTTGGTATAGTCCCCAGCACGTAGCAAAAACAATTGCAATTTTTTTCCCAGAAGAACTTGTTTTCAGTCCACACCACGAGCAATTCTCACAAATAAAAATTTAGAAATATGACTTTATACTAAAAAAAATCACAACACACCAAGGAAACAAAGTGCCACAAGCTGGAGCCTCCAAATATGAGAACAAGATATCATAACTAGAAAGCAAATACACTTCGTAGGTTACAAAAATAAAGGAAGGTACTGAAAAAAATAAGAAAAGAGGAAAATAACTTTAGAAGACTAAGAATATTTAACAAAAGACTCAAGAGAACGGCTTGATATTGAAAACTACTATTTTAGGTCAGTGTCCCTGGAAATGAACTCTTAGATATGGATTAGCATACAAGAAATTTATTTGGGTATATTCTCAGGGAAAATCACTGTTAAGGGAGTTAAGAAAAGCTGGATTGGGCAGAAGGCAAAGGAGATGTAATTGCATTACAACTTTCAGCAGATAATATCATAAGTTCTGAAGTTAATCACTCCTAAAACTACTACTAAAAAGCAGACATACTTTTAGGGTGTCTATATTATGCAGAACAGCTATGACCCCAAAGACTGAATATTATAGTTACAGGGGGAAAATGAAATTAACAGGCTTAAAATTTCTTTAGGAACTCTAAAAGTTCTGTACAAATGGGTTATTTTGGTCATCTACACAGGAATCAAAGAACAGCCACTGGAATCAGATAATCTTACTTCACTCCTGCCTTTCACAATCACTAACTAGTTGACCAAAAGCAAATTACTCTCTCTCTGTGACCAGTTTTTTCATTTCTAGAGTGGCATTAATGACAGCTACTTAATAGAAGTGCTGTGGAGGATTAAATGAAATGAACACATCTGAAGAATAAGTGTAACAACTATTACGTAACAACAGTTTGTTAATAGCTGCTATAATAAAAATACTTTTAAAAAAGAAGAGGATCATAATCATTAATTTAGAATTTGCCTTAAATTTTCTTATATTTACTTTGATATCCTGTTTAATTCAGTCATGTACAGAACCTAATTCTTACTCCAAAAGCAAAACAACACTTTACTGGAAATTTACCTTTAATGATATATGTGAATTCTGTAATAGCAGGACATCCTTGACTCTTTCTCTGGTTCTTTATATTTGCATAGATACACTATTTCTGGGGTATTTTAGAATACGTTCAAGATGATTCCTTTTATCCTACAAACACACTGACAACAGATTATAGCATTGAAATGTGTATTGTCAGAGCATTGCTGTTAATCAAATAACTCTGTAGCATGTTTGTACATGTTTTTCATCTGTGCTTGGAAAAAGATGATACGACTTTATTCATGTGTTTACTTGTTTATTTCCTACTGTTATAACAAATCAAGGTGCAGTATCTTAATACATTCCCTTTTCTCTGGCCCTTGGAAAACAGCAAAAATTAATGCTAAATTTAATCCATCAAGTAGTAACTGGAATAAATATTACATATCTAATCTACAGGTTTATTTCTTTGCAGTAATAAACAAATACTTTGTTTTATTTATGTTTGACCAGATTTATTCTGTTCTCCTTTAATGAAAATCTGGGGCTATTTGGCTCCTACAATAAGCTGTCAAGATGAAAAATCCACAGTGTAATGTCAATTTGCAATGCTTGTGGTTCAAAGGGTATTTACAGCACATGATTTATTTTTCAATCACCTAAGATTTAACAAAGAAACTATACCATGATTAATATAAAAAAAAGTGAGCAGTGATTTATTTTTACAAATTTGTCTTGAACAGCATAAAGCATGTTATTTCTGATAGTGCCTATTAGGAACAATAGCAATTGAAGTTTGTAAGAGTAAACAATTTAAATCTGCCATAAAAAAGTCAACACCTTAGAAAAAACTGGAAAAGATACTCTACTTCCATCCTGTGGAATTATTTCATAGATATTAGATGAAGTGTTGCAAAACATTTTTTCAGGGCTTTCGTTAGGAGAGTAAGTGTCCGTTCTTCAAATGCATGTCATCCTTTTAACATATGATTATTCCACAGCCTTTTTTTCCTTTTATATTTAATATATATGCATTTAAATTTGACAAAAATAATTTGGCTGAAATAAAAATAAATAGCTCTTAAATTTCAAATGCCCTCTCAGTTTTGGGAAACAACTTGTGGCAGTTCTTAGCATCAACCTAGGAAAATCTTTAGAATCAATATCCCAGTAATCTAACACTATTCTTTTCAGAATCAAATCTTTTAGACCTGCCTTCAGTGAGGTAAATGCTTGGCTGGATACATAGTAGGTATATATATTTGTGGGTTACATGAGATATTTTGATATAGGCAAGCAATACATAATAATCACACCAGGGTAGCTGGGGTATCCATCACCTCAAGCATTTATCTTTGTGTTGCAAACAATTCAATTATACTCTTCTCCTTATGTTAAATGTACAATTAAATTATTTTTGACTATAGGTACCATGTTGTGCTAGCAAATATGATAGCATATATTATTGAAATTTACAAGGGACATAAATTCTCCTCATGGTATTTTATGTGTTTTCTTGCAAAATTACTTTGGTCTTGTTAGGTTTTAACTATAAAAACTTATTTAACAATCAAGAGCTATAGTTAATTACAGAATTATTCTATTACTAGAAAGCTACGTGTGAATTGATCATTCTTATTCTTTTATTACAAGTATATAATCATTAAATAAGTAGATGTATTTGAGTTGATGTTGAAAGGTATCTAAGATATAATGCGAAGACAAAAAGTAAGCTAGAAAACAGTATATTTTCATAATTATGTAGTGGTACCCATACATTTATTTGTACACTTCCTGATAATGTTAAAACACATTGGGATGTAAATTTTAAAAGTGTGGCATAATATGCAGCAAACTCAAGTAGTAAGTGGGAATATAAAAAATATTCATTTCTTTTGAGACAGAGTCTCCCTCTGTCACCCAGGTTGGAGGGCAGTGGCTCAATCTTGCCTCCTTGCAAACTCTGCCTCCCAAGTTCAAGTGATTATCCTGCTTCAGCTTCCGGAGTAGCTGGTACTACAGCATGGTTGTACATAGAATAAAAATGGGACACTGGGCTGGGCACAGTGGCTTACACCTGTAATCCTAGCACTTTGGGAGTCCAAGGCGGGTGGATTGCCTGAGTTCAGGAGTTCGAGACCAGCCTGGGCAAAATGGGGAAACCCCATCTCTTCCTGAGTAGCTGGGACTACAGATGCGCACCACTATGCCCAGCTAATTTTTGTATTTTTAGTAGAAATTGGTGTTTTATCATGTTGGCCAGGATGGTCTTGAATTCCTTACCTCAGGGGATTCACCAGACTCAGACTCCTAAAATGCTGGAATTACAGGCATGAGCCACTGCAACCAGCCAAATATTCACTTTTTTTAATACATCTTTTTATCTTACATATCTTTATATGTTTCCTTAATAGCCAATATTTATATAATAAAACATAGGAAGAAGACAGGCATGTAGACTCACACATCAGCAATGACTAACTCCACAAGGTAGAATTACAGATGCCCTTAATTTACTTCTTGTCTACATTTTAATATCTATGTTCATAACAAGAGTTATTAATTTATGTAAATACAAGGTAGAATCATTTTAGTGGACTGATATTAAAAAAACTTTTCTCATTTATTGCATAAACACATCTCACTCCTCATAGATTTTTTTCTATGGAAATATGATTATACAAATATAATTAACATTTATCTGAATAAAATTTATTTATCAATAAAGAACCTTAATTGCATGAGCATTGTTAAATCACCAAACTAAATCTAATACATCACAACTAAGATATTACGTGGCCTCCTCAAGAGCTTCTTCAGTTAATTGCATGGGGATTGAGAATTAAGTTAGTTTTTTGTTTGTTTCTTCTTTTGTTCTGGTGTTTATATCAGTACTTTTGTGTAAAGTTACAAGTAATGGCAATGAATAACAACATAGATATTTTCATATGTAATATTATAGAAATACATTGTGAACAATAATTTCTATATATACGAAATACTGAAAATAATAAAAAGTTTTAAAAAGTATTCTGTAAGCCCTTGTTTTAGATCTCTTCTTCCTTTGTTTCAATAATAGGCTTTAATAATCACTCTTTCTTATGAAACATGTGAATATTTAGGTGTTACTGTTTTTAAATTTTTGTATCATTAAATATGCAATGCATCATTTCCTAATAATCCTCTCAACTTCTTTACTATTAGCATTTTTTTTTTTCAACTTTCAGCTTTCCTTTGCCGCTTCAATCATCTCCAGCAATATTTAAGATCTCTGATAGCTAATGGTAAATCTGAGAACATTTTCTGGACTCGAGCCAATCATAGTATCTTTAAATAATATTTATATATTACAAGCTTGCCAGCTACTTACCAGGGCATAACAAAAGATAAATATACACTCCTCTACTACCACCACTAAAAGAAACCAATCATCTGACTGCTAGTGACCTAATTTTTGCATAGCTGTTTATAATTCTCATCATCATGTTATAGCAATATGATTTATTAATCCTTCTGGCATTTTTCTCCTTGACAGCTTCTCAGCTGCTGTTACATTCTACTTGGATAGGTAAGTACTATATACAATTTTGAAACTGCACATCAGTTTTATATGTTGAGACTTTATTTGCTTTAAACACTCAGTGTCTACTAAGGTAGAATAATTTGGATTTAACAATATGAAAGATAAAAAATTACTGTTAAGGGTTCAACATAGATGAGAATGAAGAAAATGCATATTTGAAGATGTGACTACAATGGAGCCTTTCAATATGTTTAACTCAGGGTGGGTTAAAATATAATTCATATCTTAGTTTATAAAAACCATAGCATTTTACTTCAAATGGGAAATATACTTTTTAGTCCTCTGCAGACTTTTAGGTATACTGAAAAACTTCTGTACAGAAATATTTTTGCTATAATATCTAAAACCGTACACCTTTTTAAGCAACAACTGTATGTTTTCACATCAATTTTTAATTGTCAAAAATTAGCTATAATCATCAATACAGGTGGTAAATTATCTATCTATATATGTAACTACCACATTTTCATTACAATAAAATTCAATTTGATGTTTTGTACATATTATACATATTAAACAGAAACAAGAACAGAACAAAAATATTAGAAAGGAATATGCACATATGAACAAACACCCGATTAATAATTCACTACAGCTGTACTCTAAACAAGGTTGTATTGCTAGAATGTATGGCAAAAAAAGGAGAAATATTTAGATTGTATAGTTCTCTTTGTCCAGTAAAAAAAAAAAAAATCCACCATTGTTGCTTAATGTGAATGGACACATTTCTTGATGCCAGTGAATCAGAAGGAGTTTAGGCATATAAAATATATTAGGTAATATCGTATTGTGAACCACAAATTTGCACAGCAATGTTATTTAAGTGAGCAATTTACATTTTTGGATCTCTATTTGACCTGTCACCTGCACATTGACATTCCATCTCTATAAATTATTCCTTAAGCTAGAGAAACATTTATTGTAAGAAATAAAGATAATGTGGATTCATGTGACTTCCTTATGACCTAATTTAATAAAATTATTCTAAAATGATAAAAGGAAGACATAGTTATATTTATGACATAATCTGCTCAAATTTCCAATGTTTTAAACTTTCTTTTGTCAAGTGATAGATGATGTTTCTGTTGTAACTATCGGAATTTTTGAGACGAGCATTTCAAGGAGCTCCAGTTTCAATTGGAAAGGATCCATAATCTTAAAACACTGGACATTCTACTGTGAAGGATTTTAAATGTGATTATATATTTCTCTAATATTCATAAGTATTCTATTTATTCATAAAGGTAAAGCAGCAAATTAATTCCTAGTAGTCTAGGAGAAATGCAACTTAGAATCTTTTCCATATTTGGAAAGGTTGTTTGAAAAGCCAGAATTCTTCAGCATCTTACTGTAAAGTCGTAATTTGTGTCTACCCTATTTTAATCATAGGTGTGACAACAGCATGGTTTTGTATGGAATAATAGTGGGGCGCTGGGCTGGGCACAGTGGCTCACGCCTGTAACCCTAGCACTCTGGGAGGCCAAGGCAGGTGGATTGCCTGAGTTCAGGAGTTCAAGACCAGCCTAGGCAAAACTGTGAAACCCCGTCTCTACTAAATTACACAAGAAATTAGCCGGGCATGGCTATGTGTGCCTGTAGTCCCAGCTACCCAGGAGGCTGAGGCAGGAGAATCACTAGAATCTGGAAGGTGGAGATGGCAGTGAACCGAGATCATGCCACTGCATACCAGCCTGGGCAACAGGCCAAGACTCCATCTCTACATGTACACGTACACGCACACGGTGTGTCGGGGTGCTGATGATTTAGCCTCTGTGTTTTCCAATTTCTTGTAGAGTCTTTAATCTGGTCTGGTCTGACTCAAAATCATTGTCACTTATACCCAAATTGTTTAAGGATAAGGATGTGATATTCTTCACTGAGTTCAGAGAACTGGCATGTAACTAACAGAACCAATTAAGTAACAATTTTGCATAGTTTCTCGGTCATTAAAAAAATGGAGAAAATGAGGAAAATCTAGTGTACTCTAGCTTCTAAGGAAGTAAATTCCTCAGTTTAAGTCTCTTCTTTTACAGCATATAACAAAGCAAATCAAGGAGTAGACAATTCCACGATATTCAGATATTTTGACTTTTAAAACACTAGCTGTTAAGCTATTAATAACTGTGAGAGATCACATTAAATTCAAGTGATGCTGATTATTTTAAATGGATAAAATTTTATGTATTGTGTACGTGATGTTTCAAAGTACTTATACATTGTGAAATGGTTGAATCTAGCTAGTTAAAAATGCATTATCTCATATAGTTATCATTTTGTGATAAGAACACTTAACATCTGCTTTCAACACAGAAGTATAGAGTAGCATGGTGGTTACTAGAGGCTCGGCTGGATTGGGTGCAGCGGTGTTGGGAAGATGTTGGTCAACTGATGAAAAGTTACAGTTAGATAGGTAGAATAAGTTCAGGAGATAGCAATGATTTTTTAAGCTTTCAGTAATTTAATAAATAACTTACACTGACATCTAACATGACATTTCACCATAATTGAAGCCTATCTTTCAAACATAGCATATCTTATTTTTATTTTGAATGTCACACAAATGAACTAATGAATATGCAACTCCAATTACTGCATGTATTATGTAGACACTCAGGCATTTATTGACAGTTATTTTTAGTGAAAAAAAATTATCATAATCAACCTATACATAATGCTGCTGTTTAAATAATTAATATAATGTGGTAGGCCAGAGAGGCGGGGGTCCCAAAAGATGGCTCTGCAAGTAATATCAACAAATTGAAAGCATTAGATGATCCAGTTTCTGAAACACTTGATATTGAACAAAAATTAGGTTCAGAAAATTGTTAAAGATGTCTGTAATTTTATCAAAGACCAATTGCATCATTAAAGCATTACATGATGGGGAGGAACAACAGTGCTGAGGAGGTCATAAAGATAGTTGTATGCATCCAGAAGTCAAGAATTTAAAAGAATGAGTGTTGGAGTGCTCATTTGCCATAAATGATTTTGAACCATAATTAATATAGAAGTATTCATTTTGAATCATAATGGCAACATTTTGTACTTAAAAGTTATATAAATGGTAAAAAGCCATGACAATGTATGTTTATACAAGCTTGGAGTTTTTCAGTATGTTATAAAAGCTAAATTTATAATGCATGGGTATTGTATGGAACAAACATATTTTAATTTTATCTAAACAAGAAAAAACTTACACATAGACAATTTCTGAAATCTTTTCAAAGAGGAACAATTTAATTACATGCTTCTTGCATATTTACCAATGAACTTTAAGGCAGTTGTTACATTGTATTTGTATTACAACCTCCCTAGAACTAAAAAGCATTATAATAACATTTGACCATTTTAATTGAAATATTTTAAAAATTAAACTGTTAGAAAAAAAATGATAAGGAAAAGGAGACTCTCTGTGAGGGGTTGACTTATGTCCTCCCCAAACTCATGTATTTAGTTCCCCAATGCCATAGAACATGACCTTATTTGAAAATAGTGTCTTTATAGAGGTACTTAAGTTAAAATAGGGTCACTAGAGTGATCCCTGACCCAATATAATAGGTACTTATTAAAAGCAGAAATCCAGACATTCAGACTCACGCAGAAGGGAGACAATGTGAAGAAACACAGCAAGAAGATGCCCAACTACAGTCAAAGAGCCACTGAGGCTACTAAAACCAGGAGACAGGCCTGAAATAGACCCTTTTCCAGAGCCTTCAAAGGGACATCTTGATTTCAAACTTCTAGCCTCCAGAATTTTCAGACAATAAATTTCTGATGTTCTTAGCCAATCAGTTTGTGGCACTATGTTTTGGCAGCCCTAGAAAACTAATGCATTATCTTAACCAACGTTTCTTGTCTAAGATAGAGCTTTCCTTTCCATAACATCCACAGTGGCTTAGGGAATTTATGTAAGAAATCTTACACTGTAAATATTTATTTATAAATTTCTGAGGTCCAGTGATGAAACTAGCAATATTAGTTGATTGATATTCTTAAAATGCAGAATAATGAGAGACAACTTTGCTAGTCAATTGATATAACAATTACTGAATAAACATTTTGTGATATGGCTATCAGTGTATAAAATAATTGTATAGATTTGAATCACATGAATTCAACCCCAGTATTACACGTATGTCCCTATATTCTTCTCAAGAAATCCAAATAATTAACAGGACAACACCTGGGTTTAGCATCAGAATATGGTATTCTCCCTATGAATACCATATATTGGACCTATATTCTCCATATGAATACCATATTCTACCCACTAAAATACCTCAGATAATTTTATGTATACCAACTAGTAAGGACCCAGTTTTCAACCCTTGATAACCTCCAAAACCAGAATAAGGGATCCTCATTTGACCTGGAGTTAATTTTTGAGGTTTGTGAATAAACTAAATCAGGTCACTGCTTTTGTTTTTGTTTGCTACTTGGAGGGAGCAGAGTAAAGCAATGCCGAGACATGAATAGAGATGTAGACTTCTTTAGTAACAACAGCCAATATATTCTTTTTTTTTTTTTTTTTTGAAACAAGCTCTGTTATTATTTTAGAGTTGACTTTTGATAAATCCATTAAAAAACTATTGACTTGGTGGAATGTGATACTTTGGGACTTCCAGGTTATTCTTTGAAGTGGTCTTGATAGGAAGCTATGTGTTCACAAAATGTATTAAGCTGGGGGAAATAAAGCATTTCAATAAATGTTTTTTTTTTTTTTTTACAATATGTGTGTATTTACTTTTTCAGCAAGTTAGTTCATTTTCAAGAAAAGATCCTACAACAGAATTATAAATTTTCAATCTTTTGTTGGCATCTACAAGATGATCCTCAACTTCAGATGCTTAAGTGCTGTAAGGACACTGGCTCTGTTTTACTCTGTCCTTTAAGATCCTTGCGAAAAGATGCATGCTTACAGTCCTCTCTGGCCTGTAGCAATGCCACAGTTCCCTCTTTCAGTTAGCTCCCTGCTTGCTTCCTGT